AACTACTTCTAATGACATGATGCCCGTAAACTACTTCTAATAACATGATGCCCATAAACTACTTCTAATAACATGATGCCCATAAACTACTTCTAATGAAACTACTTCTTATGACATGATGCTCATAAACTACTTCTAATAACATGATGCCCATAAACTACTTCTAATAACATGATGCCCATAAACTACTTCTAATGACATGATGCCCATAAACTACTTCTAATAACATGATGCCCATAAACTACTTCTAATGAAACTACTTCTTATGACATGATGCTCATAAACTACTTCTAATGATATGATGCCCATAAACTACTTCTAATGACATGATACCCATAAACTACTTCTAATGACATGATGCCCATAAACTACTTCTAATGACATGATGCCCATTAACTATTTCTAATGACACGATGCCCATAAACTATTTCTAATGACACGATGCTCATAAACTACTTCTAATGACATGATGCCCATTAACTATTTCTAATGACACGATGCCCATTAACTATTTCTAATGACACGATGCCCATAAACTATTTCTAATGACACGATGCTCATAAACTACTTCTAATGAAACTACTTCTTATGACATGAAGCTCATAAACTACTTCTAATGATATGATGCCCATAAACTACTTCTAATGACATGATGCCCATTAACTATTTCTAATGACACGATGCCCATTAACTATTTCTAATGACACGATGCCCATAAACTATTTCTAATGACATGATGCCCATTAACTACTTCTAATGAAACTACTTCTAATGACATGATGCCCATAAACTACTTCTAATGACATGATGCCCATAAACTACTTCTAATGAACCCACTTCTAATGTCATGATACCCATATACTACTTCTAATGACATGATGCCCATAAACTAGTTCTAATGACATGATGCCCATAAACTACTTCTAATGACATGATACCCATAAACTACTTCTAATGACATGGTGCCCATTAACTTCTTCTAATGACATGATGCCCATAAACTACTTCTAATGACATGATGCCAATAAACTACTTCTAATGAAACTACTTCTAGTCGCCCATAAACTATTACTAATGACATGATGCCCATAAACTACTTCTAATGAAAGTACCTCTAAAGACATGATGCCGATAAACTAGTTCTAATGACATGATGCCCATAAACTAATTCTAATGACTTTATACCCATAAACTACTTCTAATGACATGGTGCCCATTAACTTCTTCTAGTGACATGATGCCTATAAACTACTTCTAATGACATGATGCCCATAAACTACTTCTAATGACATGATGCCCATAAACTACTTCTAATGACATGATGCCCATTAACTATTTCTAATGACACGATGCCCATAAACTACTTCTAATGAACCCACTTCTAACAACATGATACCCATGAACTACTTCTAATGACATGATGCCCATAAACTACTTCTAATGAACCCACTTCTAATAACATGATACTCATAAACTACTTCTAATGACATGATGCCAATAAACTACTTCTAATGAAACTACTTCTAATGACGTGATGCCCATAAACTATTACTAATGACATGATGCCCATAAACTACTTCTAATGACATGATGCCGGTAAACTACTTCTAATGACATGATGCCTATAAACTAGTTCTAATGACATGATGCCCATAAACTACTTCTAATGACATGATGCCGGTAAACTACTTCTAATGAACCCACTTCTAATAACATGAGGCCCATAAACTACTTCTAATGACATGATGCCGGTAAACTACTTCTAATGACATGATGCCCATAAACTAGTTCTAATGACATGATGCCCATTAACTACTTCTGCCCATTGACTACTTCTAATGACATGATGCCCATAAACTACTTCTAACGACATGATGCCCATAAACTACTTCTAATGACACGATGCCCATAAACTACTTCTAATGGCATGATGCTGTTAAACTACTTCTAATGACATGATGCCCATAAACTACTTCTAATGACATGATGCCCATTAAGTACTTCTAATGACATGATGCCCGTAAACTACTAATGGTGGCTACATTCAATGATGTTACAACAAAAAATCGCGGTAAAATGATAAGGATCATTTGATATGACACGTCTGAAGACAACTTCCGTAAGATGGATAGATTTTCAATGGGTTTTATATATAGAATGATTTGTATGCTTGTCTTACCTCGGCTATTATGGTTAGGTTGAACTGTCTTTGCATTTCATCATAATCGAATTGTTTTGTTGTATATATTCTACTGCCAAAGAACCTGAAATGCCCCAGTCCGTCCTGAAATAAAGCGTATATTATATTATAACCTTATATTCTATACAGACATTTTAAAGAAGACATGAAAGGTTTGGATCTCGGTAATATTCAATGTTATAAAAAGTCAAAAAAATTATGAAAACTGTTTATAATATAAATATCATAATCTTCTTGAAATTGTCCGTGGCATTTCCTAGATAACATGTATTTCAGGGTATCTAATTGTGATATTGTGTTATATTTGTAATTTCAAGATACTAAGAAAATGTAAGATATCATATTGACGTACTTGTAATTTGTAAATGATATACTGATTTTCTTTGTCTTTATCGTTAGCAATACCTCGAGTTTCAAAAATAGCTGTGTTCAATTCGGTGCTCTAAATGATACAAAAAATATAATGTAGTAAATTAAACAGAGAATATTTATCATAAAACATAGGTGTAAACCATAATTATTATTCTAGTCCTATTCTATATTATATATCACAGTTCATCTTTCCTAGTAAATGGAGAGTTGGCTCGGTGAATTATAGTAGCTTTCTCGCTAAACTGGAGGACCGGGCAACAGTATAGTTCGAGATAGTACACTGTGATATTTCAATCAGCGGTGAGAATATTGATATTTAAATCTGAGACAAATTGTCACGTCTTCAGTCTATACAACCAGTATAAAGTAGCAAATAAAGTTAGAAACTTTAATTGAAAAATACAACAAATAATAATATGTAAAATATCAAATTATTTGATCAATAATCTAATACTCTAACAATAAATGAATAAGAGGATTAATAAAAAAAAAAATAAAGGAAATTGTATTCAACACATAACGTGAGATTTTAACCCCTGAAAAACAGTGGAAGGCGTGGGTGGGCAAAAGTAGAGATGACTGTACAAATTTTACTAAACTCATGACCAAATACAAAGACAGAGGAAAACTATTTACAAGTGATCAGTTATTGTAAGGGAGTTTATATTGGTCAGAGAACTGAATCTGAGTAAAATTATAACGAATTGTAATTAAACTGAACAAAATAACAGTGAATTGTAATTAAAATGAATTAAACTACCATTGAGAGAGTGTTACATTATGAGGACTGATAATTAATTATTTTAAATCTAAAATATCAAAATGTATACCTCTGATATATTTACTGTATATTGATCTTGGGTAAAGACAGGAGGGTATTCATTCAAATCGATAATTTTCACAGAAAAGCCTTCCTGTAAATCAAGAAAGTAAAATTAACAATAAAATTATAAGGCTGACAGTATGACCAAGAATATACCCCAATTTACTAAGTCAAATTGTGTTTGGCATGTATTGCATTTCAATAAATTTGTAGTAAAAATTTGAGTCGTCTTAAAGTCTGGCTCAGTCTGGGCATAAACTTGGCACGTATTTTTGATTAATCCACACACAAACAGGTTTGTTTTATCTTCCTAAATATCATCATGAAGTGAGCTAGCTAATTCATGTCGATACACAACTGAGGTACTATAATATAAACGCTTTTTAAAAGACTTTGACATGCTATCAGCGACATTAACTGACATTTCATTGGATAACTGCTATAATCACAAAGTCTCATAGAGTTTCGATAAGATTTTCGTTGCGGTTTGTTTTCAAATTCCACAGAATACGTTTATATCAGAAACTCATCAGATCATGAATGGTAATGTAGTATCCTTCAGAAAAAAAAACACAAAACGAAATATCCAGGTCTGCAATTTAGTCATATTGCGACTAATTGACAAACTTTTTTTTTTTAAATTTCTAGTATTGAAGTGGACTTACACTACTAGGTGCATTGACACAGGTGATTAAAAAACGGCATTCTGATGATACCTGAAATGGAATTTTAAATCGACATTATGAAAAAAAAATGATTTTTCATCCTCTAAATAGTCCAAACCGTTAGTCTAGAAGACATTTCAATGGAAGTTGTCAATTTCAATTGGATTTGTCAAAGGTATCGTGATGTCGTCCATAAAATCTTTTAAAGGGACAGTGGCGCCATTTTCGGGGGTTGATTTGAGTCTTGAATAGATGTCAATAGTCTCCTGAAGTACTAGAAAATTACGAAAATCGCATAATTTCTTTAAAATTATTTCAAGCTTGGAATTTTACTCACTATTTCTATACGTGTCTTTTCTATATATCACCAATAGTCATTTCAACATTCAAACGAGGATAATTCACACGTCATGAATTGGAAGGCTAAAATTTCGACGGTGAGCTGTGAACACTATTACTGATTGGCTTAGCTAAAAAAATTCCTGTTTCTGAGACTAAGTACGAGTGGTCAAAAAATGGCTCACCTGTCCCTTTCTTTGTGAATTGTATTAGGTTTTATAATCTGTTTTAAGAATCCCTAGCATAGCGAATATTGATGCTAATGAAATATGTATAATCTCTGATTTGTGAATTATATAGTATGGTCCAACAGAAAGTATGATAGACTATGTTTTTAAAGATATGTACGGAGAGTCCGGGAATCTATCTTGATAGATAGTAGAAATAACTATAATCACATTTTCGAGGGTTTAACAGGTAGCAGTAGACGAATTGGGCATATGATCTGTCTATAACAAAGCCATACAAACCGTTTCTGCATCTAAAGTTTTATTTAAGACTATATTATGGACCGTCTGTGTAGATGATGGCTTTACTGCCAGAAAGTTGTAGCAATTCGTTTGGTCAGCAACTAGTTTAACAATGACTTCAGGTAAACTAGTTACATTAAATAATACATATCCTGTAAAAAATAAATCTCTCTTATAATTGATGAATTTATGCTCGTTCATCTGAAAGCCCAGGGGTACCATAGAGATTGAAAAAGAAGATACGACATAGGCTTGTAGATTAATTATATGCCGATTTATCTTCGAAGTATTCGGAGGTTAAGAGTTCGGTCAAGTTTGTCACTTATTCAGGCCGAAAAGATTGATTAATGACATAATAAACCTTTATACCTTACGGTGGCATACACGTTATCATCCCATCAGCAATACCTTACTGTTCTGTAAGAGTTATTATGAAAATTTGCGTTTAATATATATTGTCATTTTACCTATTGTTGTATTTTCAGAAACTTTTATGATATTGGGACGAACTTTCAAAGCATCATAATCACAATCTGAAATGATAACAGAAATTCAAGAACAATAATGTTAAATATATTTGTTTTAAATGTATCAAATGACAGGAAATAGCATTCTAACCATGATTCGCATTATTCATGGATCTAGACGGACAGTCGCTTTAATTGATATCAAATGATGGGAACGTTTAAAAAAAAAAGACGTATAAACGCGAATTTACGGAAGCGTATTAGTACGGAAGTGTATTAGGGCCATTCAATTTTTTTTTTTTTTTAATTTTGAATTGGAATACAAGATCCGAAATAATTAGAACCCGTCACCCTCAAAATGTACACGGAATACTAGTGTATTTAATCAGATCGATATGCTATGAACCATCTTGAAATCTATAAACAAACAGATATATTGTGCCACTGTGTAATAGCTTTTGTTAATCAAAAACTGGAAACATGCTATGTGTGATTTACAAGAATTATTTATAATATGTTTTATTCTTTACCTGTACGTCCTCTGGTAATACTGGCCAATATAATTAATAATATGTTCAAGCCATTTATTTTGTTAATCATTTTAACTTTTCCACATTAATCATACTATATCTATAAAATAAAGATACGTTAACACTCACTAACGATATAATTACTAGAAAGGTACGTTCATAAGTTTATGAAATTCAATCTATCACATGTTACCATATATTAATGATTATGGAGGTATAACGTTGCCAAAATTGCCGATTGTACTGCAGCTTTAAAATATCAATGTCGTCATTACAAAATGCATTTGTCAATGCTGCAAAGTACAATTGTCGAATTGTAAAAATACAAATGTATAATCAGTATTCTCCAAAATCCAATGAAATGCAACACGAATGCAGGTGATATTAAGCAGCATTGACAAATGCACATATCTCGACAAAATTGCATACCATAATTAATTAATTTTTCTCAATTCTATCACTTTTTACTGATATTTCTTTCAAATTCGTGGAAAGAATTCAAATTGTTTTTATACATTACATTTGTGTATACATATTATCTTGAATTGTACCAGAATTATGGAATCTGGTGTTCAATTATGGTACAAGTTGAGATAATACCTCCAAAGTGGGAGGGCCGGGCTAGTTGTTCGAATCTGACTCGAACCCTACGTGATACAGTCCGAACCAGGTAAGGAGGACAGGGCCGGTTATCAAACATCACAAATTCGAACGATCCGGAGTTTGCCTCCGCCAAACTATGCAGCCTAGCGTCAGATATCGTCTCTTTCAGTTCTAATACATCAGTTAATCCATCGAAAACTTTCGACGTAAAATGTCTATGTTCTTCAATACTGATGGCATATGGGTACCAAATCACATCAAAAATTGACACAAACTTGTTTTCTATGATTGTCTAAAATCTATTTTCAGGATAAAAATGTCATTTTTGCCCTCCACACTGTAGATTGAACTGTCGAACCAAAGTGTTGACACCCCAAAACCCCCTGCCCCCCACACCCTCCGACTTTTGGCTAGGCACAGGCCTGATAACGACGATGGTTTTTATGTCCTCATTCATAGCAAGGTGTGGTAATTGTATTTATTATAACTTTGTTCTTATCTATGGATTGGGTTGAAACATTCTTGATAGGATAATGATATGATCAGAGTACAGTATTTAATAAATATGATATATTCGGATTGAAATTGGTCTAGAAAATTTGAATACTGATGTGGTTCAATCATATCTCAAAGATAAATAACTGATTGTTCTATGGATGGAAACTATATCTTGAGTTGCCATGGAGGTCCACAACTTCTTGTGTTTCATTTCAACGAGAAGAGAATATGTTAGACCGACTGTTTCTGAACAAGTTAGAAAACGAAGTTGTTGTAAAACAAAAATAAGCATATGTATCCACACGCATGAAAATCTCTGTCGTTGGTGTACAATATATACATTGCAAATTCATTAATAACATTTAATAAACAGTTTTGAATGATCTGAAAGCCAACATACATTTAGTAACTTCTACTTAAATGTTGATAGGAATACCAAACTTTATGGTCATTTGTTAGTCATTTAAGAAGTAAGGATTTGTAAGCCTACTATTTTGCTGTGTTCGGATATTCAATTGATGTATTTACTCTCATCTGAGAATGTAATATTTTGGTTTATGAAAGAAAGAATAAAAAAAACCGAATTTATGGGTAGACTTAACTTGACGTTTAAAGGGTGTTCCAGTCGACCTTATGATTAGTAGAATCTAAGAGCAACTGTTTCTTCAAAGACTTCTTATATCAACTGACAACAGGCAATAGACAACAAATTGGTCAAGTGCACTAAATATCCAGTGATAAATCTCTAAAAAATCAATAGAAATAAGTTGGTCGAATTAAAGCGAGAAAAATTATTATCCCGACAGATTATGTTAATGGATTTTATGAATTGCAAATTAATAATTTAAAGCAAAAATCAAACAAGAGAAGGAACAGACTATTCAGGTGTCTAATACTATCGTTATTTACAGTCATGATTATTAGAATAACAAACAAAAAATAAACTTACATAATGAATAAAATTGAAAAAATGTAACAAATTTATCCTTAGTATGAATACACTTTTGATAACGATATAAAATTTTATATCAAATATCTTTGATAAGAATAAATCGTGATACTTTATCAGTTATATTATATTATGAGACTATCCTCCAATAAACTTCTATATCATATTGCTGACAAATCTATGTAATTTGCCAATTTATTTTAGTCATTGACATTAGCGACATACAATTTAATCACAATTTGCATGATAAAAGCGTAAACAAATATTATTTGTCATTTAATGGTTAATGCTTCCTAATTTTTCATTAAAACATAATATTAACAGGTGAAAAGTGCTTAGGTATAACTTTATTTTTAAGGTACAAAGCACTTTTAACTCTATTATGAAAATCAAGGACAACGATCGAGCCACTTAAGTTTTTGAATAGAATATTGATCTAAACCTTTCAGTTATCACACTAATAGATTGAAGATTTCTGTCTAATTGGAGCATCGTAATTTTGATTTGCATTTCAGACTAGGATCAAATTCATATTAGATTTCGTATTTCATTGTTCTCTACATCTTTTTGTGAGAGGGGCAAATTTTGACAACTTGGATTAAGACTGTTCAATTAATCCCTCAGTCCCACTGGGCTTTGTGATGGTTTGCGAACCATTGGCGACGGAAAAAGTGGACAATCTCAATGCTTTGCAATGATATACGCAGAATGTTCGCCGTGCATCTGCGATGATCGCAAAGCATCCTTCTTATTGAATCGCGACATCTTCGAAAGTGTGTAAAAAAATTCAATTTGGCAGATCGTTTGTGAACATTTTTATCCCATAACCCTTCGCCATTAAAATTATAACGGCGACTTGACGACATTGCCGTTTCATCTGTTACACGCCGCCGAGCGTTTTAAGACATGTTTTCGTCGCTGACTTTCATTTTTAAAATGTTATCCAACCATAAGTGACGATCTATAAACGTTTCAAAACATTTGTCTGGCTTGCCACCACGCAATGAGAATGAACAGCTGCTCAACTAGATGAGTGGGTTGGGAATTTTTTTTTAAAATATGCCTTGTGCAATTTTATCTGGGGCCGGGAACCCCCTTAGGGTTGAGGTCCGGTTCAACCAGTTCCTGTGGTAGTTAGGCCACTGAGAATGGTCTCATCTAGATCCAATAACGCCTCCTGGCTATTGCTCTTCTCCAAAACACCAATAACAGGAATAGGAAAGCTTGTAACTCTTGCTGTCTTCTCTATACAAAGCTAATGCTTGTTCTTCCATTCTAAGAATGGCCAGACAACTCAAGTTACGCACCTCCCATCCCCCCATTACACATACACATACATGTCAACATATCGGGGGACATTCGACTACGCTATGGTTAGCGGATAGTCGCCAAATAGTTGAGAAGATTCTGCGAACCTTCGCTAAACATTGCTGAATATTTTCCAATAAATCGGCAAGTCGTCGACTATCGCAGACCATCGCCGATACATAAATTCCTAATAGGAATTCCTGAGGTATTAGAAACTTTCTTTGTGTAGGTTTTTATTTCTTGGGCGAGTCATATGTCAGTGAAGAAGCTGTCTTGGTGGTTATCGAAAAAATACTCATCGTTCATTCAGATATCTGGCTTTGTAGTTTCATTAAATGATTGATCATATAAAGTTATCGGCTTCTATCTAGTAAACACGTAGCTGGTATTGGCATACATTAGCGCTTTCAGAATCCCAAGTATTTTTTTATCTATTTTCTGTTGTCTAGAATTTTCCTGGGTCACCAGTATTGTGACACAGACATTAGATAATCAATCAATTTGAACTGGTATTTTGTTAATAATTGAATTATGACAGCTACAAATTTTAGGTATGTGGAAAGAGATGTCGAATTGACAACCCAGTTGCAGATGGCATCAGGTGTTCCTGAAGAGTGAGCATATCCGGACTCGCATGCGACCCACTTTATATAGTGGTGCTAAAATGAAAAGTATTTATTATTCGGAAGGTTAACCTCAAATATAAGAACGGAAAGCATGTGTAAAAGATAGATTGATTTGAATTTGATAAGTTCCAAAATGGAATGAAGATCCGTGTTTAATTTGGATGTAGGAATATTACATTTCAGAAATTTATTGTTTTTTTTTTAATTTTTAATTTTTATTTCTAAACCATTTCTCACAATAGCAGAGACTAAATCAAATTTCCCTGATATTATTCATATTCGGTTTATTAGAACATTTATAGCACAGAAACAGCAAAGTAATTTTCCAAATACCAGTTCATTCTGATTGAAAGTGGATTCGTTTATGATTTGTTTCAAATAGTCCAAAATTACATTATCAAAGATAGATCAAAAAAACAGGAAATTATAATTGAGTTTTTCTTCAGAACAAAATCTATACCACAGTCCATTGATATAAATCAATCTGGATCACAAAACATAATTAATGTTCCTATTGGTAAAATGATACATCTGAAGAAATAATACTAATCTAACTTTAATTACAAGGAAAAAAACAATATTTCCTTACCATTTTGATTTGAAATCAATCCATCCATTTTATAGTGTATTTTACCTGATTTATTCCAATGAAGAACAAAGGGAATCATAGTCCTTTAAAAGTATAAGTAGAAAATAATTATAGAAATCCTTTAAAAGTATACGTAGAAAATGATTTAATGTCACTTTACCTCTCAATATTCCATATCTCTATTCCAATAATCATTATAAATATACATGATAATTTTTTGACAAAAAACAAAACACATCATCTCCTCGATTCTTATCTATGTAACGTATCACTATGTCTTCTATCAAATATTCAACATGTCTAATGAAATGTACAACAATTCAATATGGTAAATATTGATCCACATAATATTGAATAATTATTGAAGGTAATTGATTGATTATTATTAGTACCTTTCATATAAATATTCACACACTATTACCTTTAACATAAACATTAAAATCATTTTTATCTTCATTAGAACTTTCTGTCAAAATTTTTAATACCACATGTTTCAACCTTTAGTAGATTGAAAATATCCAGTTTAATGATTATACTAAAACTTATTTTAATATTAATAATTAAACATTTTGTCTTTTTAACGTTATTGTGTTGGTTTAATATTCAATTTCAGACGTCAATTTTTAATCATTCATGTCCTCATTATTGATTGTTAAAGAGTGTATTCGAGTGTTTTTTTATGTTTAAGAAATCCAATATCGGGTCAATAAAATGATATTTACGTAATTGAGATGTTAGCTAGTCTATATAAATCTATAACAATATTGAATATTGAGCTCGATGCTGTCATCTCACTCAATAAATAAAAGAGAATTGTTATAAAGGCACTATTCAAACAAATTGCAACGGTGACTTTACTTTAAGAAAATAGATTGATAGATTGAAATTAACTATATAATGTTGATTTCTCTTAGAAGTTATAATGAGCTGTTCACTTCAATGAATTCTCATTAAACATTTCATAAGATCTAAGGCGAACTTTTATTTACATTTTTAAAATTTAGTTCCTTGCGGTGTTATATCCTTTCAAAGAAAAAATATTATAAAGCAGGAATGATTATCATCGTGATTTAGAATAAAACAATACAAAACCTATGTGTTGTTGTGGAGATCTTGAATTACTAGATTGATAGGCTTTGTATTATTAGAGGTTGGGTAAACTTGTTATATTTTTAAATGTTAGGGCTTGGTCAACTATCTTTATATCATTTACATTTAAAGAGTGCGTAAACTATCATATATTATTAAAATGTATAGAGTGCGTAAACTATGTAATATTATATATATTTAGATGGTTTGTAATCTATGTTATATGATTTACATCTAGAGGGTGGCAAACTATCGTATATTATTTACATTTAGAGATTGTGTAAACTATATAAATTATCTATATTTAGATGGTTTGTAAACAATGTTATATGATTTACATCTAGAGGGTGGTAAACTATCGTATATTATTTACATTTAGAGGGTAGTAAACTATCATATATTATTTACATTTAGAGATTGTGTAAAATATGTAATATTATTTATATTGAGGGTTTGTAATCTATGTTATATGATTTACATTTAGAGGGTATAAACTATGTTATATTATTTACATTTAGAGAGTGCGTAAACTATCATATATTATTTACATTTAGAGATTGTGTAAAATATCATATATTGTTAAAATTTAGAGAGTGCGTAAACTATGTAATATTGTATATATTTAGAGGGTTTGTGAACTATGTCATATGATTTACATTTAAAGGATGGATAATCTTACAGTACATTATTTACATTTAGAGGATTGGTAAACTATCGTATATTATTTACATTTAGAAGGTTGGTAAACTATGTTATATTATTAAAATTTAGAGGGTTAGTAAACTATGTTATATTATTTATATTTGGAGGGTGGGTAAACTATGTTCTATTATTAAATCTAGAGGCTTGGTAAATTATTTATAAATTGTCTAGAGGCTTTGTGAATAATTCATGCATTATTTTTTTGAATTATTTAGAGGGTGGTTTTTTTATCGTTATATTATTTACATGAAGAGGGTGGGTAATCTTTGCTATATCATTTACATTTAGAGAGTAAACTATGTTATACTATGTATACATGTATTTAGAAGGTTGGTATATTATATTACTTCGTTAACATTAAGAGAGTGGGTAAACTATGTTATATTATTGAATGTAGACGATTGGTATATATATTATTTACGTTTGGAGGATGAGTACATCATCTTATATTATTTTTATATGATTTACATTAAGGGGGGAGGTAAATTATACTTTATATCTTATAATATAGAGAGTAATTATCGTTGTATAATTCAAAACTTAAACATACGGGATTGGTAGTCTATCTTTATATAAATGAATATAATTATGGAAGATTGATATAATTTTTCAATTAATTACAGATGTAAATTGTCCTATGATTAAAACGAAAACCTGTAAAAATTACAGATCATCATTCTGTAACTTTTTAAAGCTTGGTCCACTATATCTTTATAAATATTCTCAGAAATTTTAAAAATATAGCCTACTATTTTGCTATGAAAATTAATCATAAAAACACGGTTTGAGTGGGACTAAATTCAATGGACATTTGTTTTAAGTACTAATATAATCATTCTAGATCAATGATATCAATGACCACGACTATCATACTTTACATCTTATTGATTTCTTTAATGTCACATTCTTATCATATGCATAGCTGGATATGAATTACTTATAACTATCAAGATAATATAATTGCGTGCAGTCCTTAATTAATCAATATGTGTAAACAAATGAAATGATTTCTGTTGATAGCAATTCTACTTTATATTATTGGGATCAATATTTTTAGCTTGTATGACACAAGTCTGCTATATAGGTGGTTGAATTTAGACTGAAAATCCATAAATCGCGACAAGAAACCTCTCTATTATTGTACAATTATACAACATTATTTATCGATTTATCATGTACTCATATAAAGCGCATGAATTTATCCCGAGTATTATACGGCTCATTTAAGATGTTTAGTCATTTCTTAATTCAGACTACTTTCTCACCATTTTCTTTCAGCCAATACTTGAATATAAAATTGATGAAAAAGAACTACTGTGTTTCTCTTGTTATAAACTTATATGAGATATTGCTTGATGTTGAAGTCTTATAAATAATTCAGTGATTTGTACAAGAGAAGTAACAAATATCTAATTATTGGTTCAGTCTCTTTGAACTTTGTTTTGATATACACACATCTTAAACCTGGCCGCCATATACATCCTTCATAAGAATTTTAACTGTGAAGATACCATGGGCATAGGAGAATATTATCTGTTCGGACAGCAACCAAAGACCTCAAAGAACTGTTTATCCGATTATTACCAATTTCTAACTTAATCGCGATCTCATACCGAGTTTCATTAAGATCGGATAAAAACTGTAGTCTCTATCGTGCCTACAAAGCAAATTTGCCGAGTTTTCAGTAAGTCAAGGGCAAAAACTCCGAAACCCTTCATCCAATTGTTACCAATTACTAACTCGAGATCTCATCAATATATTCATGCATCCCTAGTTTCATCTAGTTCGGATAAAAACCGTAGTCTCTAAAGCAAAATTGACGTTAAGTCAAGGTCAATAATTCTGAAATAGTTTATCCGATTATTATCAATTTCGAGGTTGACTGAGATCTTATCAATGTTTACATGCATGCCAAGTTTCATCAAGATGGAATTAAAACTATCGTGCCTACAAAGCAAATCTGACGCGTTTTACTAAGTCAAGGGCAATAACTCTCAAAAAGTCCATCCGATTATTACCAATTTCGAACTTGACTGAGATCCTATCAATATATACATGCATCAAGTTTCATGAAAATCTGATAAAAACTGCAGTCTTTATCGCGCCTACAAGAAATATGAACGGACGGACGGACAGGGGCGTCGGCAATATACGTCCACATTTCAACGTGGGCGTATAAAAATGATCGGAGAGTAATTTTTGTGGTATCATGGTTTCAAGATCAGGTCAAACCTCAACCACTGTTTCAGAAAACTGTTGTTGCACCAAACACCTCCAGTCAAATCGTTAGACAAAGCCGTAGATTTCTGGGTAGATTGAGCTTGATTAATAATATGAATCAATGCAAGATATGAAACATTCAAGAATTAAGAAGATGAGCTCCATCAGAGAGCGTATTGCTGTAAACGAAGGTATCTGATTCAGTTATAATAGAAAAGTGCCATGGGCATCTGTAATCCAGATCCTCATTGTGCAGATTCTGCATCAGTTAGGCAGAGAAAAGCCATTTCATAAATAAAACATTAATAAATATCATAGTCAAATCCATGCTAACATTCTTCCTAATAAATAGTAAATCCATAACAATAATTCTATCGACTGAAATCAGTGGAACTTACATCATGTAATTATAAACAGTGTCCATCATAATAAGAGTAAAGACATGCAAATATCAGATTTATCACTGATATCAAGATATTTAAACATAACAGGTAAATCATTGTCAATCTGATAGAATTGTCTTGAAGTTTATTATTCTCCAGAGAACTCTATAATCTCATTGTTTATTATGTACATGTACTTAATTATAAATAAAAAAACATATAAATATAAATATAATGAAGTCTATTCAAATTTATAGTAATCAAGTCAGTGTGTGGGATTCACTTTGTGTATGGCCAGCTTAGACAAGTAATTAACTGAATGAGCAGTTTTGTCCAATCATAAGTAATGTTGATAAAAAAATTCTCGAGGAAACTGTTAGTTTTTACAATTATATGATTTCCTTTCTCTCAAGTATACTCAAAAATTTAAGATGTTTTGTTACTGTTGATTTTCAGAATTATTGTCAGTTTGAAGAGGAGTGTTTAATTCTGCAGATGGAACACTGTCAATGATGGGTTGAGGATTGTTATTAGTAGCTACATTATCAGAACTTTGGTCGTGAGGCATTTTTTCTTCCCAAAATTCATTTACTTTTTTATCATATCCTCTGTTTTCTTCTCTCCATTCTCTCTGCCACTGACGTAATTCTTGGATTTTTGGATCACATCTAACCTGAAATCAAATTTGATATCTTACATATATAAGCATCCAATATATTACCTATATGTTATAGTGTTCATATGTCAGTCAGAATTGTCTGTCAGATCCACTAACATTCTTATCATGATTTTACACTATCTCAGGGGTTTTCAACCTGGGGATAATTTTGAAAAACATTACAGGGTTAAGAGAAAATTACCAAATACTAAAGATTTTTAAGGGGATCGGGTAATGCAATGATCAAGGAACCCGAAAGGGGTAATAGAAAGAAAAAGATTGAAAACCCCTGCAGTATTTGCTTATTCTACATCAGGAAGCATTTACTGTAGGACATGTCTTTCACATTAACAATTCATAATGATTAACAATACCTTATATCCTCTCCAATGTGATTGAATAATCAATCCTGCTTCTTCTTCTGTCCACAATAATGATAATGGTAATGGTGGTCTAGGACTGAAAAAGAGATTGAATCAAGAATAAACATAAACTACCTAATATAATAATTGATTTCATCACAAATTAAAGAAAAAACATTTTTTCATTCAAATATGAACAACTTGTCACAAGACATATTCTAAAATGCCCACAATAAAACGTTTTCATCCAGTTCAGAAATTGCTGAACAAACTTATTATTTTTAAAATCTTTAATTATCATTCTTAGTGTCACTGAATCACATGGACAGTTTTGATAATGATAATATATAACGACAATATAATAGTACTTACTGATCTTTTAACCATAGATTAACAAACGGTATATCTAATAACTGTACATTTTCTCTATCGGGTTTACTTCTATTGTTTCTACAATAAATTTTAAAATTTGATAAACATGCCATGTCCATTATTATGAAAGATTTCAACACTTGTTTATAAATATAAGCTTAATCATTACCTTAATCATTTATATATATAAAAAAAATAATAACTGACGAACTGACTTACTTCTGCCTAAATTGTATGTAATGTAGCATGTAACCAACAAGGATAAGCTTATTCAAAAAGAACATTTACCTGTATAAACATTCCGTGATAAAATCTAATGCATTAAACTTTGTTCTTTTTCTCTGTAAAAAAAAAAATATTTGGTGGCTGAATATAATTGTTGACAAACTATGAACAATAAAAATATTTGTACATCCTGGTAAATCTGTTACATTCTACATTCCATTAATAAACACCAATATATATTTGAGGTCTATGTTTAGAACTTACCTCAAAACATTTTTCTATCTTAGCTTGTTTTAACATATCAGCTAATGCTGGTAATAAAACAGGGAAAATATAACATTCTAAATATTCTTTCGGTGGACCTAAAAAATTGAATGAAATAAACTAAGGTCTAAATTCTCATTGCAAGAAACCTATTTAAAGAAAGGAAAAATGTAATTTGTATAAGGAAGATAGCTTGCCAGGTAAGATTACATTCGCCCACTGGCAGCTGTCAGAAATGATATAACAGTCTTTATTGACTAAAGTAATAATTATCTCATATTAAATAAATTTCATAAGTTTGAATGATATATATATCACTGCCAGTTTTCAATGCTGAGTAATTCCACAAAATGTTTTAAAATCAATATCAATAACCCAAATAAATCAAACAGCTCTAATATCAGGGGCAAAAAATTGTTGAGTGAAACTGTTGAAAATTCAATAAACCTCCATTCATTTCATTTCACTCATCAATATAAATCATCATACCACACTTCATAAAAATCACATGAAATCTGTAGTCTCTATTGTGCTCATGAACAAATTTTGAAGCATTTTATCTCAGTCAAGGGTTACAACTCATAAACTGTTCATCGAAAAATAATCAAGTTCAAACTTGTCAAAGATCTCATCAATATAAATGATCACACCAAATTTCATTAAAACAGTTGAAAACTCTTGTCTCCATACTGTTCACAAACAAAATTATACCCTTTTTTCTTAAGTCAAGGGCAATAACTACCACAGCCATATACGCCCACCATGGCATGCAGATGGTAAAAACGAAACATCCATTTTAAGTTTCATCAAAATCGGTTGAAAACTAAGAAAGTAATAGCATATTATTCAAGATTTTGGGGCAAGGGTAATAACTCTGCTTCTAACGGTCGAAAATAGCTCAAATTCGAACCTGACCTTTGTTTTATGAATATGTATACACATATCTTTCCAAGGCATTTAGTAATTGATCAATGTAAGTAAAAAAAACTTTATAGACATAAAATTACTACAATTATTGACTGCGACGTTTCAATTTCAATGAATGTTCTCTCACCGTTACCAAGCAAAACATTAGGCATATATATATATAGAGAGCTAGTAACAACAACTAATAGCCATATATATATGTTCTTTTTGATCTGTTCTCTTTAATCTGTGGATTATGGTTTCTTACTGATATTCTATATCATATTATTTATTCCCTAAATGATATTATCATATTCACTTGGTATGAAATAACCTTGTGGCTTGTGGTGCTGTCGTTGATGGTGACTTTCCATATGCATTAAGAATATTCTGTACCGTTCTTCCTTTCTTAAAACTAATATCTACTTGAAGTTCTTCCGTTAACAGTCTTTTAATCTGGTAGGAATTTGATCAAATAAACGGTATGCTAATTCTGATCCCGCAGTTGGATGGTGGTATACACATACCCAATTTCATATGATTCCAACAAAAAATCTGGTTTTTAGTGCGTTTACAAGCAAATGTTGACGGACCCACGGAGCAACAGACCAACGGAGTGTTTACGAGCAATTGATGTTGAAAGAAGCACTTACTGTAAAGAGGTTAAAGGGCGATAACTCCTCAAAACTGACGTTAGAGGCCTAAATCTTGAAAAAGCCTTAAATTTAATCAGAAGTAAACTAAACTTTCTCAAACCTTTCGATAACATCCATTTTAAGTTTCATCAAAATCGGTTGAAAACTAACAGAGTAATACCTGGCATATTCAAGAGTTAGGGGCAAAGGCAATAACTCTGTAAAGGACATGAAATAAGACTCCGATTTTGACAACTACCTAATCTCAACTCAGAATATTGTTATTACTCTTTAGGTCTATTATAATGTTTTCATTCAGATCTTACCATTTCGAACTTGATCTTCGTTTTATGAACATGTATACATATACCAAATTTCATTTTGATTCCATCAAAAAATCTAGTATCTAGAGCATTTACAAGCAAATATTGACGGAAGGACGGAGGGACAGACGGCCAGACCGGGGTGCTGACAGTATACGTCCGCATAGAAAGATGTTCATCGAAAAATCAATAAATGCGAATTTGTCCAAGATCTCATTAATATAAATGATCAAACCAAATTTCATTAAAATCATTTGAAAACTGTAGTCTCTATTGTGTAAGCTTACACAAACAAATTTTGATTCCTTTTTCCTAAATCAAGGGCAACAACTCAAAAATTCAAACTTGACTAGGATCACACCAAATTTCATTAAGATAGCTTGCATTGCAAGGTAACATACGCCCACTGGCAGCTGTCAGAAATAATAAAACAGTCTTTAGTGATTAAAGTACGAATTTTCTCATATTGAAGAAATTATTTATGCTGAATAATTCCACAAAATTAAAATCAAACTTGTCCGAGATCTTATCAATTTCAATGATCACACCAAGTTTCATCAGAATCGGTTGAAAACTGTAGCTTCTATTGTGCTCACAAACAAATTTTGACGCGTTTTTTGTAAGTTAATGGCATTAACTCAAAAACATTTCATCGAAAATGCGTCAAGATAGAACTTGTCCGAGATCTTATCAATTCCAATGATCACACCAAGTTTCATCAGAATCGGTTGAAAACTGTAGCGTCAATCCTGCTCACAAACTATTATTAACAAATTTCGACACGTTAACAAAGTCAAGGGCAATAACTCAAAAAACCGTTCATTGAAAATCCGTCAAGTTAGATCTTATCAATTCCAATGATCACACCAAGTTTCATCAGAATCGGTTGAAAACTGTAGATTCAATCCTGCTCACGAACTATTTTTAACAAATTTCAACACATTTTAACAAAGTCAAGGGTAATAACTCAAAAACCGTTCATCGAAAATGCGTCAGAATAGAACTTGTCCGAGATCTTATCAATTCCAATGATCACACCCAGTTTCATCAGAATCGGTTGAAAACTGTAGCTTCAATCCTTCTCACGAACTATTTTTAACAAATTTTGACGCGTTTTAACAAAGTCAAGGGCAATAACTCAAAAACCGTTCATCGAAAATGCGTCAAGTTAGAATTTGTCCAAGATCTTATCAATTCCAATGATCACACCAAGTTTCATCAGAATCGGTTGAAAACTGTATCGTCAATCCTGCTCACGAACTATTTTTAACAAATTTTGACGCGTTTTAACAAAGTCAATGGGAATAACTCAAAAACTGTTCATCGAAAATGCGTCAAGTTAGAACTTGTCCGGGATCTTATGAATTCCAATGATCACACCAAGTTTCATCAGAACTTGTCTAAGATCTCATCAATATAAAAGATCACACCAAATTTCATTAAAATCAGTCCAAAACTGTAGTTCACTATTGTGAAACAAATTCAGTCAAGGGCAATGGCTGACGGACAGACGGACAGGGGCTATGGCAATTTACGTCCACATTTCCATGTGGGCAAAGAATAAAATCTAAATGCTCTATAGAATCCTATCTTCAATATGGTTCTTTGTGCAAACTTCCTAACACCTCTTGACAACTGGGATAACTAAATAATTTAGAATTGATTTTCTGTCCACAGATTTTCCAACTCTTTTTAATATTAAGGCATCCACAGTGAAATAATATTAATAGAAGGCACAACACAATACAACAAAACAAACACCCACTAAAAAACATAACTAATAACGATATTTATACACTTAAACAACTCGAAGATGTAACTAACATTTGTCACATAAGCTTATAGACATTAAAATGTGATCTAAAGGATAAAATAAAACAAGAAAGACAATACTTTACTAACATGTATTAGGGGAGGGTAATGGTGGAGGGATGGGTGACGATTTACACGGAGGTTTATCAGTAAAAGCAAACCCTGCACATGAAGGATGACTAATAGTAACATCTACGTCAACAATATCATCTATATCAGTTACAACACGTTCATGCATTTTCCCATAAAAGACTGGATTGTGTTTACTTGGATCATAGTCTTGATAGTCTGTGTGAACAGATTGTGTTTCATCATCATTAGTTATAGGTGCTCTTTGATATTCATATTCTGAAGAAAAAAAGAATAAGTGAAGAATATACAAATTAATAATTTACTTAAAAAGAAAAGAAATGAAATGAAAGAAGCTTTACGTCCTATTTCTGCACTTGATTGACATGACAATGCCATGAAATGGTTAATGAGGGACTGTTTGCCAGGACAGATTTCTACCCTTAACATGCATAGCATGTAACACACATGATTGTCTCATCCAAATAACTGGCTGCTTTTTCCATGTCAACTGTCAATCTCTATGATTTTATCATTGTCAGGGAGAAATCAGGTATTTTCTTTACCAATTCCAGGATTGATTGCTTGATTTTGAACTTGCCAACAGTCCTCGCAAAAGAAAACTATAATGAAAAAAAGCACTGCAAGAGAATTGGTGGATTGAGTTATGTCATCATTATTTGTTAAATTGTCAGGAGAAAAGTAGGTCATTTTAACGTGAATTTTCTGGGAGGGAAGTATGTCTATTTTGAAAGTAAAAATTCTGAACGTTATATTTCTATGGACATTCTACAGATAAAGGGTATACAAATGAAAATTTTATTTTCAAGGCTCAATGTTATCAGAGAGTAACTAGAAATTTCACTAAAGAAAAGATGACTTATTTTAACTTTTCTATCATGGATGATTCTGGACACTCACAAAGTTGAAAGCTTAAATTTTGACTGTGAGCTTTGAATACTGTTACTGATTAGCTTTTAAAAGTTCTGTTCCCTTATTTTCATTTATTCATATTTCCCATTATTGGACAGCTAATACTTATATAAATTGAAAGCAGAGGTGTTCTAATGTTTGGGAAAAATACTAGTTTGTCATAGGTCTAAGTCAATAATTAACTCTTAATTAGCTAATTACGAGATAATTCCAATGATCGAGCGGTCATTTAATAAAGATTATCAGGTCTCGCAATTTTCATAAGGGTAACTCTATGTGTGCCTGTTCACAGCCAAACATTACCAAAACAGCCAAATACAAACTGAAATTTTTAAAATTTAAATGGTTATGTCTCCAAAATAGGGAAAAAGACAATGTTTTTTTTTATTTTCTAAAAACACAGTGTATTAAATTACGGTACATTATTTCTAACTTACAAAAATGTCTTTTAAACATGGTTTGGCTAATAATTCTTTTATACGAAATTTTGGCTAGATTATCACAATCAATATATTTAAGTCAGGGAGTAAACAGGGAATCTATTTTTAGCTTTTTCAATCAGATTTCAGTAACTTTGATCCCCAAGCTTTTCTACATCCTCACACAATCTCAAGAGTAATTGATTTATTCATTACAAACATCAATTAATCAAACAATAAGCATGATTTGACCAAGAAAAATAAGTAAAGGCAACTTTAACTAAATTATTACAGTTTCTGAGGCTAAGGGCTCTGTCCCTTGAACAAAAGGCACACTACTAGGCCTAGCACTACTAGGCCTATATTTCATACTTGAAAGACTAACAATAATTATTCTGAGTGATATTTAGCCTACATCTAAAAAAAATCGAATTTCCAAGTGCCAGTAATACTTTTTCATCCGCATTTGCTTGTTTTGATAAACATGGGTTTTCTGTACAATATCAGCTAGTAGAATGAATCCAGTACTTTCAAGCAAGGTAAAATGTATTTATGTATACTTTGACATAAACAAAATGGCGGATTTCAGTTATAACCAAACGTCACAATTTTTTATCTATAATCCCTAGCTGTAATCGGAATTCCAAGTGTCGTCTGCAAGAATGTAGTCCAACGATTGAAATCACATGATCAACTAGCGGATTCCGTGTTAGCAGAAAAATTCTATGGAACACAATGTGGGCCATATTCATATGTTGTTTCAATGACTTTTAGCAATAAATCACCCAATGTATCTTATTTTGTCAGTCACTATTTTTTTTTCAAATCATGGATCTTTGAAGGAATTGTCACTAGTTATAATGAATTGATATCAAAGATATACTAAGAGAAGTATACCACTGGGTATCCATACAACGCGTTTTTCTCGACTTATTTATAGTTCAAACATAGTACACGAAAATAGGTGACGCATTTTGCCGCCCAGTTGTCGAGTTGGTTACTCATGAAATATGGGTCAAAGTGAGGGATTCATAAAGGAAATCGAAACAAACCAATTTCAATTATTTTGTAGTAAAGTCAAGTAACCTAATTTCGTGGAAACCTATTATTCATGGATTTCCGGAACTGTTTAATAATTTACATGAGTGACCTTGCGCGACCTCCGCATTAGTTTGTTTTGATAAACATGGGTTTTCTGTACAATATCTGCTAGTAGAATGAATCCAGTAGTTTCAAGCAGGGTAAAATTTATTAATGTATACTTTGACAAATACAAAATGGCGGATTTCAGTTATTACCAAACGTCACCATTTTTTATCCGCCAAATTTCCTTATAATCCCAAGCGGTAATTGGATCCCAAGTGTCGTCTGCTAGAATGTAGTCCAACGAATGAATTGACGTGATCAACTAGCGGATTCCGTGTCAGCAGAAAATTTCTATGGAGCACAAAGTGGACCATATTNNCTATGTGTTTAGTGACCAATCCACTATTTTTTTTTTAAATCGTGGTTCTTTGAGGAATAGTTATAATGAATTGATATTAAAGATAAATACTAAGAGAAGTTAATTATACCACCCGGTATCCATACAACGTGTTTTTCTAGACTTATTTATAGATCAAACATTGTACACAAAAATAGGTGACACATTCTGCCGCCGTTGTCGAGTTGGTTGCTCATGAAATATGGGTCAAAGTGAAGGATTCATAAAGAAAATCAAAATAAACCAATTTTAATTATTTTGTAGAATATCTGAGGAAACATATAAGACATAAAAAAAAAAATTCGTTTTTTTAACTTTGACGAAATTCGGTGTTAAATCTTAATATCCACAAAAATAGGTTACACCACTGTATTTTTATGTTGATAATTTTAAACTCATGCAAAAGTTATCAGCAAAAAATCAAAACAACAATTTTACAATTGCAATAACAAATCGTATAATAATACATTATAACTTTGTCAAGAGCAAAAATGGTGGCATTGCCCATACAAAGTTCAGAACGTGGCTGAACGAATTCTCCTTAAAAAATGAACGAAAGCAGATATTTGTTACCTTTGCAAATCAATTCCCAAAGGTTGGGTTCAGGAACTCTTGTGATTACCGACATTTTTGTTTATGCTCAACAGCCACCGGAAATGTTATTATGTGCAAAAGAAAAGAGTGCTGTCTTCTCTCTACAGAAACGTCACAAAACAGTAACATGCATTCCTACTGATATATTTTTATTAATTTCATATATTAGAAAACTGTTTAGTGGGTTAACATGCGGGGCATAGATCATAAAATTATCCCTGTGCTTTAAAAAATAAATCCCTTGGTTACTGTATACATACGCACAATTACGAGGGAGGTAACTCCAAAGAAACAAATTCGACTACAGACTACACATAAGTACACATCATGTCTTCATACACCAATGTCATTTATTTGTAGCTCATACAAATCCCAAATTTATACCCTCAATACACTTTACAAAGGCTAGCCTTTAAAATTAAGTTCTAGCTTTACAAATGCTTTCAATGACGGATTATCAATCTGTTCTAAAGCTTCAAGAGCAGATTTTCCACCATCTTTATAATAATCTTTTAATTCCTCAGCATAAGCTATCCAGACACAGTTTGCGCAACCACTCATGCAACAGTCAATTGGTGGTTCGGGAGGTGGACCCTTCCCAGGAATTACATTTCTGGTATAACTCAAAGATTTTGTTTTAGTATTTTCTGAAATTAAATAATGCGATGTTTCTTCATCACCATTTTCAGATTTTAACAATTTTGATGTATGATAAAATTTCACAGAACTAAGATTATATCGTAGACGAAGCAAAAAAGTTAACAATTTTAAATTAGTCTTCATTTCCACTTTTCGAAAAACTCTCTGTTTATCCTAGCCTCTCTCGATCGACACAGAATCAAGACTAAGAGCAAGACAGTCTAGTGACAGTCAGCACCAAAGCAGATCCCAGAGACAGGCAGTTAACCAGGCTATTTCATGTCTTTAATAAAATCTATTTCCTCTTTATTCCGTCAAAGGCAACAAGTTTGATCTTTCATATACACGAACATATTCTTCAAGAAAATTCGTCAGCTCTGTATGCACCAATACTAAACCTTCTCTTCCCAATTTTTACAAAGCGAAAGTAGAATTTGACAAGAATTCCCCGGAAATGACGTATAAAACAGCGCCACCTATAACAACAAATTAAGGAAATCCCTACACATGTGTAAATCTTAAATTGTTTGAAGATTCTTGTAATTAGTCAACAATGTCTAAGATCTCAAACACACAACGTAGAAAAAAAAATAAAAAATTTGAACATTTCAGGAAGAAACTCAGAGAAACACAACTAAATGCTAAAAAGTAATGGTAATAGTCTATTGACATTGTCCTGGTTATCTCAACTGGATAAGTCACAAGTTGTCGATGATGATAATAGTGTCATCAGCATCAGCCTTCATCAGCAAAATTGCAATAATGACCCAAGTAAAAACATCTGCCCCTACCCCAGCTTCTGATAGATATTTATTATCGACTGGAGTAGAGGCAGTAAAACTAGACTCTGTTTAAAGCTATGGGGTTATTCCATATCTTTGAAAATAAATTTTTTCTGACATTATATTAATTAAATTACCTTTATATTTATGATGACTGTAAAAGTGTATATTATCGTTGGATATCAGTGTAACTTTTGCCAGTATCATGTGACTTTGTGAAAATTTGGCCCCTCAACAGTTTTAAATGGCTGACTGTAGATTGTTAAGATAAATGAAGATGTGACATGAATGGTGTATGGGGAGTATGATGGCATGACATGACGACAAAAATATCCATCTTTCCGAATATATTTGGGTTTGGTGGGCCAGATTTGAATAAATAGGTTTAAAACCCCTGCACTTTCGAAGGTGCCAAAAATTTCCCATAAAACATGGATGCGTTTTTCAACACTTGAATAGAGACCGATATTACGGTCTTTAATGACTCATGTTTTTTGAGATAATGATAATGAATTGTTTTTGAAATATTAAGCAAAATTTTAATTCTAAATGGAAGTCTTTAAAATAAAACCTCACAGCTCCATTGCAATTAATGCTCTATGAAAAAATATGGTGGTGTTTCCAATGGGCAAAGATGTCCAGGGCAATTTTGAGTCAAAATTATGAGAGGGCAAACTGTATTTACTTCTAAAAGCTAAGCCCATCTTTGTTCACATCAGTTCTGATACTTCAGTTTAAGGATATGTAGAACACCACTTACTAGTAATCAAAAAATAAGTAGGACACCCAGTAATACACGAGGCAATTTGAAATAAAGCTAGTATATTACATGGAGGTTTTTGTCTTCTATAATCCTCAACCAACCATTTGATTTAATTGTAGTTGTTGTTTTCAGAGCTCCAAGAATTGGTAAACCTCAAAAAAGTAAGAAACATAAAAAGTTAAAGGCAGTAGATCCTTTTTATCATGGAGAGAGAAAAGATAAGTAAGTGCAGTATATTGTATTCCTAATTTGAATTTGGATTCCGTTTCAATTGCTTTTGCATAATTATACAAAAATTTCTGTTGAAAAATTACTTTTTTAAATAGATCTTAACATTAACATTTGATGTGTTTAAAAGTGGAGAATACCAAGTTAATCAATATATACTCTTACTGAAAAGTTATATGCATTTTATCATCTATTTTGTCATGATTTTCACTTTTTTCATTAGATTATTTAAAGGTATTAATCAGAAACCCCAATCATTAGAACAAGAAGTGCCGAAGAAAGCATTAGAAGTTTTAGAACTGATGAAAGAAACAAAGAAAATGAAAAAGAAAAAGAAGAAAGCCAAACATCAAGTCAGTATGAAACCAGAAGAGTTCAGAAAGACTGTGAATAATTCAAACAATGATAATAACTTAGGTATAAGTAATGCATTAAAACAACAACCAGGAGAAACTGATCGAAGGTTTTTACACAGATTAAATGAAGAGTCAAAAAAAGCTATGTTAATGGCTAAATTGGCTGATAAGTGGGATGTAAGTATATTCAAGCCTTGTTCTTTAAATATAACATCAAATAGTTTTGAGATGGTTATCATGTTTACATCATTTTATATATTTTATCATTTTTATTATTTAGTATTCTATTTGGTCTAGACCTGTTTTGTTGCAAATTTATACTATAAAACTTTTTCAAGAACAGAAAGAGAAACAACAATAGCTTCTGATTACTATTAATATCAGTAATACCTGCCTTTAGATAGTGTTTTTCTTTTGAATTCATTTGTCAATAAATATTAGGCAGATGTGGTTGAAACAGAAGATGGAGAATTTAAGATTAAAAAAGAAAAGAAACCTAGCGAGAAAAAGAAAAGGTAATTTCTAATACTTCAAGGGTTTCACTCATCTGAATATTCATGAACTAATTGTTATGCATCTCATATTCTGGGTCAGGGAATTCCTGTATGTCTACTCAAAAGTGTTTTTGATTGGTTAGTTTTAGCTTAGATAACGTCGTGCAAAATTCAACAGTATGACATTGACAATCTTTCAAACTGAAAAGTCTTACGGACAGTTAGTAAAACTTTTTAATGATTGAAAGAGGTTATGACTGCCTTATTTCTTGTTTTCTTAACCACTTTGTTAAAAGAATAACAAAAATTAATTAGTTTTACAAACAAAAATGATCAGTAAATCCTTTCATTATCGATGAAAAAAAGAAAGGCATATATTATAAAAGGGTAGTCAAGATAAGTTTGACAGTTTCTCTTTTGGGATACAGTTTAGAATATAGGGTGTCATTTGGGATCAACACCAACTCCTCATATTTTTTATGGTGTAATTGCTTGAAAACTGTGATCTTGATTTTGTTACCTCAATGATAAAATGTTATATATAGTCTATCTTGATCAAGGGTATGAAACTTAGACATCAAACTTACTTATCTTATTAGGAGAGCAGCAGAAAAAAGGGAAGAAAAAAGGCAGAAAAGAGATGAGAAGTTCATTGATGATTATCAAGAATTCAAAACTTTTGAAGGTAATAAGGAATCAGATGAACCAGTATCGGACGCTCAGACTTCTCCTGTCTATGATAAAGATATAGGGAGTTACAGTTGAATTTAGTGTAACAAGGCTTCAAACTTCATCAAGGGAGATCTCAATTCAGTATATTCAGTCTACAAGACTTAAACGACTTGTTTACAACAGAACCACAATGGCAATCCCCACAAGTGTTGTCAGTTTATCTTTGACATTTTAGCTGCAGCTTAATTTATTGATTTCTCCAGCAGTTAATTCCGCAGAGATTGTCATAACCACGGAATTGATTTTGAATAATATTTCCATCACCAAAACGGATTAGATTAACAGCTAATCAGATTCGTAAGCCACTGTTGACTTGATAAATCACTAAGATTTTAAGCAACTGTTCCAGGCAATCTTTTATTGCAGCTGTGTGAGACAAAGAGAGACCAGATGATAGAGGCTATTGGACTAGCAATTCGGTTAATGTCAGCTTTAACAAAAATAAAATAGGATGCAAATTTTGTTGTTCATCCAACAAGTGCTTTCCATATCAGTCTTGAAAATAAAAGCATTCAGAGGGAGAAGGTTTAATCACAGCCTAACTTTAAGACATACCCCATTTCTCCATTCTCCATTTGTCCCGTATATATCCTATAAACCTAAACTTCTTTTCTTGGTAGATCATGTTGAATTTGGTGAAGTAGTTCATGCACCACCTTCTCTGTCATCATTACCAAGAAAAGCTAATAAAGATAATGGAGCTAGAAAGGTACATTTTTATTTTTTAACTATAAAGATATTTGGATTCATGAAATATGTAGAACATTATTGAAAATCAAAAGCTTATAACTGAGCATATATTAGTGTCAAAACTGACTCAATATTTGTACCAAATTAAAGTGATTTCACTTTACTTATTATACATGTAATTTTTCTTACAGCCTGGCAGTAAGTCTTTGATATTGAAAGACATTCTGATATCTAATAAACTAAGTAACAATAATAGTGAAAGGACAACAGGAAAACGTAAAGTTGGACAATCATTAAAGAGAAAATTGATATCTCCAGCCCAGCAAGTTATTCTAGATAAGGAGAGAGATAGAGTCATTGATGTGTATAGACAGATGAAAGAAGCAAAACTGAAAAAATAAAATCAACATGTAATTATAAGCCATTATTAATGTAGAAAACCCCTTAAAGATAGAGCTTTAAGACAATTTTGAAGAAACAATTAAACTGGCAGTGGGAAATAATTTCTTCCAAATTAATATGCTGATCAGCTGTATCAAGAACAGAAACTTTCACCAGAAGAGAACATAAGATACATAATACCTAGTTCAAAGATGTATACTTTATATGTGTAAATAAATCATATATTTGAAGAAGAAAACATTAATTATCTTTCAGTCCAGTGTAATTTTTGTTCAAATACCCATTTAAAATCATGGCTTTAAATATTATTAATTAGTTATGTTCTCATGGAATGGAAGAAGGCCATTCAGGATGTGAAATAATTCTATTATGTTTTTATATGGATACATAGAGAGCTTTGATGCAGGAGTTTGGATTTCTTCAGATTTGACACAAAATAGAAAGTTACGGGCATTATTTCACATCTGTGACAAACATTTCTTGTCTTCAATTGTTTCTGTCTGGGAATACCTTCTATACATTTTTGATGCAAATATATTGAATAGATTGCCTAAGCACTGGAGAATCCTCGGAAACTATTGTTTTATGCATTACTTCATCTTATAAAGAAACTTAGCATACTTTATGACCAGTCTGAGCAATCTCAACCTCTGCCAATAATTTTCATAGAAAAGAAAATGGAAGATTAAAAATCTTATTTATACAAATTTCTAAAATGTGATATTAAACAAGTGAAAATATTACAGTGACATGAACATATAATAGATAAGCACTAAAGTATTATAGTTTGGTTTATTCTGCCTTCTTTTTGGAAACTGTCTTCTTTGGGGTAGCTTTCTTTTTAGTTGCTGTTTTAGTTTTTTCTTTTATTTTAGGTGAAGTTTTGGAAACCTTTTTCTTTTTATTTTCCTGAAAAATTTGAAATAGAAAAATATATGTAGGCCTACATCTAAAACTGTAGGCCGAAACTCTATTACCGTCTCTGATGGATATTTTGACAGTTGTCAGCTGGAGTAGAGTCAGAAGAAAAAGACTTCACCTAAAAAAAACTTTGATGGAACTTGAGACATGACATAAATGTAGGTAGTGTAGGTAGAAAGTGATAGTATGACTGAACTACAAAAATATTAAATATTATTAGGTATCTATATAGGTTTAAAACCCATTTTACAGGGCCTATTTGTTCTGTCTCTGCATCAGCTGACATCTGTCCAAATAGCTATCAGAGGCTTGAATAGAGACAGATGTTTCGGTGTACTACAACTGAAACTCAAGTCAGTTGATTGCTTGTTAAGTACTGAATAATGTTGACTATAACCATGTTAATTTGTTGAAATTAAATCCAGAAATAAAGGTGACAATCTAGATATAAAACTCAGTAAATGAATAGTTTTCAAACAATCATACACTAAAAACCATATTAAGCACCCAGGCAGTGTTCTTTAAAATTGTAAAACAGTGAGAGAAAATTTGAATTATTCTGAGATAAATTTGAATAATAAGACTAAAGTTGGTTAAGAAGCTGCGTTTGACCCTTGTTTGATTCAAATTTGTAGGTCTAGTGGTATTTTACCCATTCTTTACCCTCAAGCTTTTTATGTCATAGATTCCTTCATTCAAAAATGTAAAAATCTTGCCTTCTCCATTACTTCTATAAGGTTCTTTTTTGGAGCAGTTTTCTTAGGTGTGTTCGACTTGGTAGACTTTTTCTTAGTAGACAGTGGTGTTTTGGATTTGGTTTTCGCTGGGGTTTGCTTTATGGATTTCAAAGCTGATTTTTCATTTTTCTTGTAGGCTGTTTTTGACATGGATTTGGCTTTAACTTTTGAATTGGGTTTTGACTTGGGTTTCGACTTGGGTTTTGGTTTGGACTCCACTGCTTTAGCTTTTGCCTTTTCTTTCTTAGCCAATTTTTCTTGTTTTTCAACTGATACCTGGTCATATCTGAACCTTCCTGTTAATTTTGCCTCGAGATCTGCAGATGATTTTTTTGGTCTCATGATGGTTCCATTTTCTAACCCCTTCGCTAGAGCTTTTTTCAGTCGGTTTTTGGTGTTATTAGGATCTACGGTGGGGTATTTGTCAAGAATAAAAGAACGAATAGCAATGACAGAGACACCCGTCTTATTATCAAGTGTTTTCAATGCATCAATTACCATCAAATAAAATGTAGGAGGTTTAACAATCTTCATTTTTGTAACCTTTGCTTTAGCCAATTGAGGTTTAGAAACTGGCTTTTCTGTATCACCACCACTTCCGTCGTCAATATTACTGCCACTATCACTATTTTCTCGACTTTCAGCCATGGTTTTCTTCTTTTCTATAAGAAAATACCCAACTATTTTGTTCAATCCTTATTGTAAATTTCCTTTCCCCGCTAAGTTAAACTTAACATTTCATTGGTCTCTTCTGTCATGTGGGATGCACGTGCATACGTCATAAGGTCATAGGTTGAAGTTCACAATATTTTATCCTTACTTGGGTCAAATGTTAGTTACGTCTCTTTAGCTATAAGGGAAAAGCATGAACCTGTAGCTTCCTTTATACCCTAACCCACGGTGGGTTCGTTTTGCCGCATTGCCCAACTAGCCGCATCGTGCCCAACTGCACAAAAACGACTTGTAAAACGAAACTAAAGGTTTTTGATAAAATCCGGAATGACCATTTGTTTCACATGAAACGAAATATTTTAATCTGTTGCCCCGCATCGATTTTCTTTTTATTTATAATTTGGACCTGTTAGGGAAATCGAAAGTAGAGTTTCATGGTAAAATCTGGAATAAAATAAATACCAAGTACAAACGATCAGAACCGTGTAGGGACCAAAACTACTCATCCTACAGATAAAGTTCAAAAAGTTTATTCCATGACAAAGTTTTCGATTTACAGCTTCAATATCATACATTTTACAACATCTACAGCTTACATTATCATTTCTGAAACAATACAAAAAGTACATCTTTAATTCTCTGATAAAACTCCAATTTTGCTTACAAATTAAGAGGGATATCAATGAGGTATAATGTGGAATTTGACGATTGTATCATGATCAATGTGGGTGGCTTGCCCACCTAATGCCTATGCGATAAAATGAAGTCAAAATAACAACACATACGCCCACCTTACGACAATTCAAGGACGACATTGTAGTAAATTCTACGAAAATTATATACTTTACACCATTAAATACACAAATCGTAACAATTATAAGTTAAATTATTTATGAAAAAATTCTAAGGCTCAAAGCTGTGTTTCAATGTATTTCAGCAGAAGGAACGTTACCTTTTTTGTGCGAGAAGATAACTATTTTTTGTCCTATTTCATGAAGTTCAGCTTGTTGTGGGCGCTTTTCCTGATTCTCTGGACCAATAATTAGTAAAGTTATGATCGTCAAAAGTAGCGAATATATGGGGTCATGTCATATTTCTAGCAAATCAGACGTGTAGAAGACTGGGTCTATAAAAAACATCCATACATAGTAAGTATGTAGTAGTATAAAAACTGTGAATTAGGAAGAAAATCTGACCTAGTCGTCAAAATCATCAGGAAGGAAATTAACACCGAGTGTCTGTAATATTCCTTTGTTGTATAAGTGTTATTTAACTTAACTAATCGACACTTTAATGGTAATTGCATACTGCCAGTATGTCTATCATTATGAAAGGTAATCTAAAATAACAAGTATGACAGCCATAAACTATTGTAATAAACCGTCACGCCCTGACATAAGCAAACAATACATTAACATCATACATACTACAGTGTAAACTTGTATAGTGAAATCTATATTGTTTATTCACAGGATCGTTCAATATACTTTCTACAAATTATTCTAAAACTGAATAGATTATAATTTGATTCTTATGATATTTTCTTATGAATGTTGTGAGGTTTGTTTGAACCAATGGTGTTCTACTCTACTAAATTCGCGTGTTTCTTTATTTCGTTAACACTATACATTTTATTGGTTAGATTTGGGAGCGGTTTAAATTTCTAGTATTCAGGCTTTATGTGAGAGTTGTGTAAATAAAGTTTTATTTTAAGTCAATGGATTATGAGTGGAAAGTTCGATTTGTGATTTATGGCACTTATTTGGCGTGGACGTAACCTAATTAAACAATGTTACTGTCCCTGCTAATGACGATAAGAATGAAGTTACGTTATGGAATTATTAAGTGACATTTTTATGTGTATGAAATATATGATGAAGTTTGAGTGTTATTTTCGATATAAATGTGTTCATGTTGAGTTCTATGTTACAAACAGACAATTTGATAAATAAAAACCTTAGGTGTAAGAGCCTGATAATAAATGGTTTAAGGGGGTATGGCTAGACTTTTATACCAACTTGGTGCAGTGTTGTTAATATGTGCACTAAATGTATTGAGACCTGTTGACAATATAACGGTAAGTAGGTCTACGTTATAGGTATAATATTTATCTTTATCATACCTTATAATAGATATATCTTATAAAAGATACAGATTTCTATAATATACTAACTGGCCATAATGACAGTGGAAGTGACACTCTCATATATAGTAGAAATGTTAATTTGTCGATGGAATATTTCATGTAACTTAATAGACTCTCAACGGTAGGCCACAGTAATGAATAATTATTGATTACGATAATAATTGACTACATGTATATAAGCCATTAAAGGGATTGTAAAGAGGTTTACTAAACTTTGTATGTGTATGTAGGACACTGATAGCATCAATTTGAATTAATTCAATTTGCTATCCGACGACTATGGTTCCTGCAAATCCTCTTAAACTTTGCGATTAATGACGTCATAAAAAACTTTGATTTAGTGGAATTGCAGGAACCACAGACGTCTGCTTGAAAATTGGAGTGTTGCAAATTGATTTTATCAGTCTCCCTGATACACATAAAAAGTTTAGACCCTGTGATATGACGTACCGTATTCGATCCTTATTGACTTAAATTGATCCAACTTTATAATGAAATCTAAAAAGAAAAGCATTTGATGAAATATTCACCATTCTTTGGATATACGGTTAGGTTGTCAAAATGCAAAACCCAGTACACCACTAGTTTCTATAACTACACCGCCTATGAATAAAATTACAAGATTATTGGCCCGAAGAATCGACCTAAATGTCAGATATGAAAGGGTACTGACAGGTGTTACACAAATAAAGAAAACAGTTCAGAACGCCAATCATTCTTGGCTCAATCTAATGGGATAAATTTTTAGAAAAAAGATTTATTTTGTTAAGAAAAGGGAACTACTGCTGAATCTGAATAGATAAACTGGACAGTTCTAAGCGTTTGTTACTTTATCTGAGATCCAGGTGGGATATGGTTTGATACAATAAGCTTATTGATTAAATTGATTTAACATCTTCATTCCCTGATACCTGATTAAAGGCCATTATTCGACATTTTCGGAGTTAATTTGGATCTTGAATATATGTAAATAGTCTTTAGAAGTACTAGAATTTCAACGACGAGCTGTGGACACTACTAATTTAAACCAAATGAGCCGTGAAACATCGCCGTTTGCAATTGGTAAAATGATGATCTAAATAGAAAACGAAATCGACACATTCGGATTCAATTCAACACTATAATTATTATTAAAATGTTCGATTGATTCTGATAATGATACGAAGATATCACTACAAAATTCGACTGAACAAAATGAAAATAACAAATTCTTCAGATCATGGATGATAATTTTAGCAACAGGAAAAAAAAGTCAAGATCTCAATTTTAGTCACGTGTAAACTATAAATTCATACAATGTAAAGGTAAAAAAAACGTCAACCTTATTTCGTTATAATATGTAAAAAATTTATGCACTACGAAACATTAAGTTATACAAGTTCTATAGCATGTAGCCCACAGCATGTGACAATGAATTATATATAAATAATATACAGGTTGAAGCCAATCAGAGGCCCCGACAGAAAGGCCATGATGTCTACAGCCTTTCTGTCAAGGGTTCTGGTTGGCTGTATTAGCTGGCGTACAACCCAATCAAATCGCTGAATTCCGTGATACAAGAAAAGTGACTATTGCAATCAAGGTATAAGTACGAAGTTCATAATAGCTTGACATTGTGAAGATGGTCAATGTCAAGCTATTATCGAGTATAGCCAATAAGAATTCTTGAAAGAAAGTCTGTCTGGCGAAGGTTATGATTGGCTTTATTCGCTAGCGTACAATCCAATCAAATCGATACATTCCATGCTACAAGAAAGGCAGCTATTGCAGTCTAGGTATAAGACGAATGTCGTTAAAATCAGAAATATTATAGATTCAGAACTCATATTCTTGTCATAAGCATAAGACAGATATTTCGGCCCTAATTACCTTGTCCTTGAATCTATGCGGACGAAGCTTTTGAATGACTAAATGTCATAAGGTACCAGTTCAGATCAATTTCGGAGCTTAACTAGGTTATATGAACGAAAACTGTATTAAACATTTGATGCAATATTGAAACAAGTGAACTGCAATTTAAAGGAACACCTTCACTATCCGTTCGACCAAGCATACCTTAGTTTCAGAAACAGGATTTGTTTTAGCTTACATGATCAGTAATAGTGTTCACAGCTCATCGTCAATTTTGAGACTTCAAATCCATGTGTATCCCTAATTATTCACGTTTGAAAGTTACAAATTCGACTAGAATTTTAGTGAGACTAATATGCCATACATAGAAAACACATATATAGGAATAGACAGTGAAATTTCTAATTGGAGCTATATCTGAAGGAATTGTGCGATTTCCGTGCGTTCAGTACTTCTTAAGACTATTAAAGCACAATAAAGACCAAAATCAGTCCCCGAAAATGCCGACTGTTCCCCTTTAAAATGTGGGGTAAAAATAACCATTGACCACCCATGACCTTGTATCAAAGTCTTCAGATTATACGTAATATAATTCTTTTCACCTATTGATATAACCATCTCCGTATGATTTAATTTCTGGAGAAGATAAGTCCTTGGTATTTAGTCTGATAATGCCAATTAATGTATATAAACTTATATCTTGGCATTAGAAAGAGATATTGGTTAAAACTATGATGTGCAAGTTTCAGTTCTGACAGTGATATATGAGGTTTTATCTTTATATGATATATGGTAAGCTTCTATAAATCTGTTATAAGTGTGTATACCGTCAGATTATGATATTTTA